CGTATGATGTTATTAAACGTGAAAGAATGGATGATGTTTTTCGTAGTAAATAGAAATGAGGTAATTGTGAGTGTGGACCAGAAGAAGAATTACACACAAATTCGATGCTCACCCACACTCTATTCTTTGATAGAAAAGATGGTTGAGAATGAACAACCGTCTACAATTCAATTTTATAATTGATCATTTACAAATAGAAAATATTTTATCTCAAGGCGAAAACACATGCTCAAGTATAAAACGATTGTGTATTCACTGAAGGCAGAATTGAGCATTGTTCAACGAAAAATCAATTATGAATAAAGTTAGAATGTTTCAGTGCGTGTCACATATGGAATTACTCGATACAATCAAGCTAGTTCTCGGTAAACATGAACTCAAGATAACAATTAAAAAATTCGATACTAGTTTATACAGAGCGAGTTTTTCATTTTTGTTTTGATTACTACTATGTCCAATACATAAATTGATTATTTGTCCAATATCCAAAGTAACTTGAGAGTGTGAATGCGGGTGTGTTTGGTTTGAGGACAATATCTACACCCTATGACAAATATCAAGGATAATGTTTTGATTTTCTACAATCGTCATATAACTAGCACAATCGTTAAGATCTGCTCTAGATATAACAAATGTGTATAACATGCTTATTTGTTCATTAAATTGATGGTAAGGTTAATAATAATAACAATAATAATAAATTATGAAAATGGGAAAAAAAGACAAGAAAATAAATATCATACGAATAGCAGCAAGACAAATAAAAACAAAGAGCAGCAGTCAAAAACGAAAACAAAAACCTCCTGTTGGGAGTTCTTCCCGGATTTTACACGTTGCGTATTGTGCATTAGTATGATGAAGGTAACGAAGACATATAGGTTCCATATTTCAGCTCTAAAGAGGCTGCCATAAGAACTTTTTTTTCTTGTATATATTGATCAGCACTGTTTTCAAGTGAAAGTTTGATGTCGAACTCATCAGATATTTCATTTGAAATTACGTTACATGAAACAATTATTTGTTCACTCACTACTTTGAATATTGATATTAGCATGATTTGCAAGTAAGAATTGTATTAACTGAATGTTGTTTATCAGACTAAACTCATAAAATGATTTTCATGAATAATAATTTATTTTATTTGCAGAATTTCTTTTTTTAATCAATTTTTTAACATATGTAGTATCATCTTTTTTGGAGTACTTGATCTATCAAAGGATTCATCGTTATTTATTATATACATCGATCGAAAATTTTGTTTAGTAATATTGATTATTTTACGAGCAACAAATGATTTTTTTTCAAGGCATCAGTTTCCCTTTTGATATTTCTCTCTTCTTTATTTATTTATTTTTCTTTATTTAGTAGTTTCAATATATTAGAATCATTTATTATCTGAGGTGATGAGTATTTATTTGTTGCAAATCTACATTCATTCTTCTGTATAATTATACAACTTTAAGAAAGTATGACTAGCATATCCATCGAAATAATTTCAAATTGGTACCAATGTCCATATAAGGGTGTAGGTGAAGATAAGACCTACACATATCTCCATACTCACTCACACTCTATATAAATCTCTTCTGTATCCGTTTTGAAAATGACAATAAAATTATTGAAACGCCGAGTTTAAATAAAATACAATGGTTGTTAAAGCTACTGTTAGAATTATACTATTCGTACTGAAATTCTTTCTCATTACTTCGAAAAAGTGTGATCATCAGTGCTTTAAATACATTAACACTCAACTTTCCTGAGGGTGTGGGTGTGGGTGAATGTGACAGTCATCTCCTTATCTATACTTTTACCCACACCCACACCCTGATGAAGAAAAAGCTCAAATAAATATTTTCAGATCCTGCTATTCTAAAGTTTCTGTAGCCTCTATCAAACATTTTCAATGATATTCATTTGTATATTTTTGTACTAGACACTTTGCCCTTTCTAACAAAAAAAAAAGATGAAATCTCTGCGAGATTCCACTACAATGTGACATCACTATGTATATTCTTTCTTCTAAAGAATAGCTATCTGATATACGATGGATGAAATTTGCCATAAATCAATCATATTTCTCGGATTGAATTTATGAAAAAATCTGACATGTTCTATTTCTTCCAAAGAAAACGAACTCAGGTGACTAATGCTCACAAACGAAAGAAGAAAAAAAATATATAAAATATGACTCATAGCTAGACTTCTGCGTGACCACGATTTTTCAGTCACGTCACGTCACGGTCACGAGCTGCTTGGTCACGGTCACGTTCATAGTCACGAATATTTTTCGAAACTAGTCACGATCACGAGCTAGCTGGTCACGGTCACGAGCTAGCTGGTCACGGTCACGAGCTAGCTGGCCACGGTCACGTTCATAGTCACGGAAATTTTTCGAAACTAGTCACGGTCACGTCACGGCCACGGAGATTTTGGATTACTAGCTGGATTTTTGTGCTACAAAATCAAGATTTAAATTGATTTCGTAGATTTTTCCTGTAACAAAACAAAGAAAACCCATAAATCAATTAAAATTTTGATTTTTTTTTCACAAAAATCAGACTTTTAGTATCAAAATTTTTCACTGTTAAGTCACGGTCACGAGCCATTTGGTCACGGTCATGAGCTATTTAGTCACGGTCACGAGACGCCGTGACCGTGACCATTTTGCAGAAGTCTACTCATAGCAAACATTTCTATGGTGTTGTATGTGACGTGTAATCAAAAGAAAAGAATGAATCAATCGTTCCGAAACATCATAAGTATACTGCGCGATAAAAAATAGCCGAGCAACAGAAAATGAAAGATTGACGACAGGTAAATATGAGTCTCGTACTTTTTTTAACCTTATCCAGGGACGATTCAGTTAGAGGATTGAAATATCGAAGTCTTTTTGTTAAAGTATTTAAACATGAAAACAATCAATTATAAATTCAGTTCGATACTTTTTGATCAGTGCTCTGTGCTAGCTGCGTTTTTTCTCACACGCACTACTCAGTTAATATGATATAAGAAAACAGAGTATTTGAATAGTTTTATAGTGCAACAAAATAGTCCCATTATTGAGAATTTAGTTTTCACGTTTCATACTTATGCAAACATTCGAGTCAATCGTTCATTGATAAAACTCAATGCCTTATTGACAAAACAAAGAAAAGATTTCATTCACTACTTCTGAAATATTTTTGGGAACTCGGATGGCTTACACATTTCTAAAGAATAACATAGTCAAAACAATATCATGCTTATATGATGCTTCGCTTTTTATTTTTTAGATTTTTAACATTGCAAAGCGATATTTAGTTTAAATAATTCCAACATACATTCGATTCGATATAAGCATTTGACTAAAAACGTCTAGAAAAAACCACTTGTTTATACTAATACTGGCATTAAATCACTCGTTTCTTTGGCTTGAAAATTCGGTAATCTCAACTTTGGCCAAACATAAAAATGTCGAAAATAAAAATGAGGAAGTAGTTGGAGTGACTGAAGATGAGAGAAGTTTCTCCCTCTATATAATTTCATGTTCAACTCTTCTATCTTTTAACATATGTACTGATTTTGTTTTCGATCTTTATATTTTCGACATTTTTACTTTCAATATTAGTTCGAAGAACAAAAATTCTCATATAAGTGTCACATGACTTTGAATGAATCATTTTCTTCTAATGCTTCATTTAAGAAATTATTTAACCTCGAATTGGATGAGTATTACTAATAATTTTTGTACATTGAATACAGCACGAATACAAATACACCGACTGCTATGACCGTATAGACTATTGTATTCTAAATCAGTGTTGAAATGAGATAAAAAAAATCATACTCTCTTTGTTTCTTCCTACAAATGCAAATGTATGTATTTACTATATATGTTCATCTTATGTTATATTTACTAAGTAACAACATACATATATATAGCTTAAGTCTACTAATGTAAATCTCATCCGGACATGTAAGCAGAATTTTTCTTCGGAAAAATTTAAGGTTTTTTGAGCGTGTTGGAAATTCTTTAGTCAATCATATTCGTGCATCTTTCGTCTCGTTGATCATTATTTCGATGCTTTTAGATTGAAACCTGTATAGAAAGATAAACAAACAATAACTGTCGTCATAGGTTTCATTATCTATTTATAAAATCGCCTAACAACAAGATATAGGAATAATTAGTGTTAAAATTTATCTTCATAATTGATGGCAATGACGATTGTATCTCTTCTTGCATTACCCGTCGAGTTGATTCATCGTATTTTTGACTTCTGTGATATTCGAACTATTCTATTTTCATTACGTTCTATTAACAAAAAATTTTACACAATTGTTAATAGCTATGATCGATTTAATCTCATCATTGATTCAAAGATCGAATCCAATCTATGTAAACACCAAAAAATATAAAAAATCAACATTATTATCAATCTTCGATGGTGATTGTTGGATTCGACTTCGTTCACTAGTGTTGCATTATTTTGATGAACTCGAATTAAGAGATCTTTTACAATGTATTAGAACGAATACTCTAGCCTCTCTTTCAATTGATTCTAATGGATGTTATCATGAAAGAATAGAACCTCTTTTTTCATCACTATTCATTCGATTGAAGCTTCAGGACAAATTTGAATTTTTCTTTTCGAATCGTTGCCAATGGCAAGATAATTTCATGGGTCTCAATACTCTTATTGCTTCATATCGATCATCATTTTGGCTTAACGAAAAAAAATGGTTGATAATGGCTGCTTATATTCTACGAACAAATGAGATCTGGCTTCATACAATACCATTCCATAGTATTAATTCTGAAAAAGCCGAGGTGAGATTTGAATTATCTTCAATGGAAAATAGTTTTCGTCTGGTTACACGACCGATAAGTACTATTCTTGAAAGTGATTCAAACTTGGTATGTAATGAGATATATTCACATTATGACTTAACATTATTTTTTTCGATTCCAAATAAAGTTTCATTTCATTTCTGTTCATATCTCACGTAAAAATATAAAGCTAACAAAGTAAACAGACAGAGAAGTTGACATCCTCTGATCAATAGAAGAATGATTGTTGTATTATTTGTGAGAATTTTGAGGAGATCATGATAAAATAATGGATGTAAGTTTGTGTTCGAATTTTCTGCTTTATGTCACAAAATAAACTGCTCTAATAATATGCTTGACTGAGTCTGGATTTATTAAGGAGATCAGTTGAAGATAAAGTCAGAAGAGTCAAATGAGTCATTCAGTGAAATTCATCTCCTAAAACATAGAGTTTCGATTGTTTGAATCACGGAACCTGTCTAGACATAGCTGTCATCTATTCAACGGAGCTTTCTGTCGACAGCTCAACAGATTTTATATTACCACACGAAATCATAAAGTGAAGCGGACGATCGTTTTTCTTTCTCTCATGCTTATCTTCTATCCTCGCAGACATTCACTACGTTGGAACTCGGATACAATCATACTGGACCACGAGGAGCAAAACAACTCGTTGATGCCTTACGAAAAAATAAGGTGATTCTTATTTGCACTTCATCTATGTCATCTGCAGCTTCTTTTATCCGTACAGACACTCACCACATTATGTTTTAATTACAATCAATTAGGACCAGAAGGGACCCACTACATAGCTGATTTCTTAAAAGACAATACGGTAAGTCTCGTTGTCTCTTCATTAATGTTATATGTCCATTGTCTCTTTTCCAAGCAGACACTCACTATACTAGACCTTGGAGACAATGAGATTGGTGATTTAGGAGCCAAATATCTAGCTGATGCTCTGAAAAAAAATACGGTAACTCTTATTCGTTCTTCATCCGTCTTATATTCATCTTCTCGTACCGAGACAGTCGCTCATCAATTTTGACGTCAAGAGAAACGGAATTGGAAATTTAGGAACGCAACATCTTGTTAATGTCCTAAAAAATAATATGGTAGCCCTTATTATCGTTTCAATCGCTTTAATATTCCTTTTCTCTGATGTGCACAGACACTCACAACACCAGATCTCAGATCCAATGGAATCGATGCTGAAGGGACTCGATCTATAGCTGATGCATTAGAAAAAAAATAAGGTAACTCTTATTTTCTTTTCATCTATTTCTTATCTTGTTTTTCACTTCTTTGTACAGACACTTACCACACTGTACCTCACGTTCAATCAAATTGAAGATTTAGGAACCCAGTATCTCGCCAATGCTCTACAAAACAATAAGGTGATTGTCATCACATCTTTTTTTCTATTCATTTTCTCCTATTCTCATAAATAGACACTCAGCTTACTGGACCTTGCAAATAATGGAATTAGAGATGAAGGAGCTCTCTATCTTTCACATGTCTTGAAAAATAATACGGTAATTTTCATTCTTCCTTCAATGATTTCTCGTCTTTATGTTCTCCTCTCTATACAGACACTTACTACACTATCCCTCACCTCTAATCATATTCAAGACATAGGAATTCAATATCTAGCTGATAGCTTACAAAATAACACGGTGATTGCAATTATCTCTTCGTATCTTTCTCATGTTCATCTCGTTCTTATCTTACAGACACTCACTAAATTGAATCTTGGAAAAACTTGCATTGAAACTGATGCAAAGCAATATTTGCAAGATTTACTCAAGCGAAATAATGAATTGAACAGACACAAACAATGACAAATGATTCATACCTATGTTTTCGATATATTTCTCTCGCTCTCTTTCCAATATCTCTATCTGTAACGGAATAATTTCCAAAGATCGTTTTATCCATCTGAGTTCTGTTACACTGATCTGATTCGGAGTAATGACATACAGAAAATTCAATGAAGGGGTCTTCGTAATCATACTATTTCTTTTGAAACTAGTGACTAATCTCACAAGTATTGTCTTTTATTCTGTTTTAGAGGGTCTGGGTGCGTAAATGCTTGAATATCATTCCTCGATATTGCCAAGTGTATCCAACAGCCGGGCCTGATGTATCAATATCTCTTTAAGAAATGATTACAAAAAGATTTCCATCAAATCAAAATATTGTATGGTATAAAGCAATATATAGTCAGAAAAGATATTATTCGGTAATAGAACCCCATGGAGATGATGAAGTATGCGTTAGAGTTAGTTGTGGCAATATTTTTAGTAAAGTTCGTCAGTGTCTACCTTGCAATCTTTTTCTAAACAATACCTCAAATTATATGTCTGACTTTTCTTTCAATTTTTCTCATCAATAGATCATGATCTAAGAATATTAACCTCATCAAATGGATGTCGGAAAACTGTCCATCAATTCTTGGTCCGTTGGGACAAAAGTAGTATATTGTTGGGGTGGAAAACAATTTGGAGCGTATTTAATATTGCAAATTATGATATCAGTGAGAGAAGAATAAAAGCTATTCATAAAGTCATTCAAGATCATGTTACTCAAGAAGCATTGAATAGTAATTGATGCCTCATGTTCTGATATTGAGTGAGTAAACAAATAAAAACTGAATATTAACATAGCAAGAAATTTAATCTTCGTATTTGTCTCTTTTTCGAAGATCAATCGATGCTCGACTATCATATGAAGATCATTTCGATCATGATATCAAGACGACGAACAATGAACAGCAATAACCACTACAGTAACAAAATAAAATTGAATTTATATTGTTATTACGTGAATATAGACATTTTTCTTTTTCATTGTGTTTTGTTGTTAAACTTATCTTTAGTTTTTTGTTTTGTAATGGGTGAAAGAAAGAAGATTGTAATAAGCAAGTAAATTCTTAGTAACCGAAGTGTCGAAGAATTCAAAAAACTACCAACATTACTTGGTAATTCCATTGAGCGTTGTGTGGTTTATTTTGACACTTGTTACGGAGGAGTTATAGTTATCTTTCAAGACTACAATACCTCTAATATGGATTCAAGTAGACCACTTAGCACTACGTAGTCTACCAACTAGTTATAAAAATACAGCTTCTTTTAAGGGACTGATGAGGTGAGTTTAGGTTCGGGGCCGAATGGGTGTGAGTGTTATTCAGAAGAAGTTCCACACACCCATCCAATGCATCTTGAAAATAACTTCAAACGTCATTTTTTTTGTTATAATTAAACCTAGTAATTGGATTTTAGACAGCTTTTGGAACTATTATTAATTACTCAATTAAGTGCGTTCACCAACAACTATTTTTTACTTTATGTCTATCAACATGTCATATCCATCATCGGGCTAGCAATGACTTAAAAGAATCTATAAGAAAATTCATTTTCCGTACAATTTCATAACTGATAAATAGTTCTTAAGTAGCCAAGAATGCGCATTAGTGGATATCGTTTACAGTTCGAAAAAAACAAGGCGAGAAAATCGACAGTATCATTATGGCCACTCCTTTCTCAAAATCGATTTCGCGCCAGGTACATATATTCAAATCGCCTAAAGTTTTCAAGATATATTTGAAATGCAGTGGAGAGTCTATAGGAAAATTGTCAGCTCTATACAATGATATTTGAAAGAAATGTTCACCATGCAAGAGTCAACGAAAACTCATTTAACAATCCAAAGTTCACTGTCAACACTCGTTTTACATATTGAATTTCTTTTCTGCTTGAAACAGCATGCCAGGATGCAGAACGTGACAGCAAATTTTTTTCAAATTCTTACTTTTTAAGTGGAGAAAATGACTGACAAGATTAATATCTCAAAAAGCTTTCAAAAACAGGCGTTTTAATTTTAAAAAAAAGTACTGTTTTGTATAATAGTAAAAAGGTTTAATTCAAAAAACGACTCTGATACTTCCGATATCTTGGTGTGTTCTGTCAAACAACCCATGTATTCATTTTTTAATTTTCGACGCGTCTCCGAGCGTTTGTCAGCAATGTAATTTCACGCGTCTGGATGCATCCAAAATGCAACATTTTCGGGTGTTCTAACGCGACACCAGTTTGAAGCGCAGACAAACGCGTTTAAGTTTGTGCCACGTTTGGATGCGCATAAAATACAACATTTTTGGGTGTCTTAACGCGTTCTAATAGAGAAACGCATCTTGACGTTGTTTATTGTTAGACGCGTCGAAACGCGTTTTAGGATATCCAAAATTTGTTAAATTTAAAAAAATTGTGCTCTATATCATGGTATCGACCCATTTTCATCACTACATGATATTTTTATTTCAATTTAACACATTATTAAGTTATTGAATAGAGTGCAACAAACGAGATTCGATCATGATGCCTACAGTCTGTTATTATTATGTGACTTTTTATAGAGAAAAAGATCAATTTATAGCAATTGCTTCATTAAATTATATAAACTTTGAAGTATTTTCATTTTTTTAATTTATCAGTATCACTTAAAATTGCATACATGACATCGGTTACATATGATTAACTTTATAAAAACAATAATTATAGTTTTTGGATCACAGAATACGAGAAAAACGGTTTTTTCGATAATTAATTGCTTATTCCATAAATGCTCAATGAATGCAAAATCTTAACTTTTTTGTCTTTTTAAAGTAAAAAAAAATTTAATTTAAATTTTAAATTCAAATTAAGTAATTATTTTTTCTTTTTCTTTTTTACTTTGAATGAAATTTTTAATCATAGCGAGGTGAAGATAAATTTTACAGAAATTACTTTTCAAAAAAAATAGTGGAAATTGAAGAAAGTAAATTTAAAGAATTGCGTATTTTGTAGACGATTATATGCATTTTGTTTCTTCTGTCACATATGACTCTTTAGTGTAAGAATTCGTATATGAAGAAGCAGAAAAAACTTTAGACTTTAACAAATAAACATTAAATGTATTGTAAATGCGTTCATAACCAACCCAGATAAAATATTTGTTGCACACGGACGCATCTAAACGCTCGATGGCAATAGTGTCTGAATGCATATTTTGTGTTCTGACTGCATTTATACGCTATTTTAAGTTGTTTTTAGCCACATTCAGACGCAATTCTATTTCAAGTTGTGTTTGAAAGCAACTCTACCATTGTGTCTGAGCTACATTCAGATTCATTCGTTTCTTCTACTTCTTATCTGTTTGTATCTCTAATAGGTTTACATGTAAACTAACTTTGAACTTCATGTTTGAGTTAAAATGGATATTTTTGCTTAACACTTAAATTTTATTTATTTTGAAATTTAAATTGCTACGCTTCACTTATGTGTTATACAAGAGCGAAATGGATTTCGTGAAAAAAAGGTGCTGGTAGTGACATGTAGCAAAATAATATTATTGTAATACCGTTTTCGAATGAATGTTCTATACATTTCAAAATTTGATACGTCTACTCATTTGTTTCTATTTCACAGATTAACTAAGTCTTCATGAATTTATATGCTGAACACAAATATGATGAGATTTCTCATATCCAACTATATATGTTTATATTCTGTTTCATGCAATGCTAGCCACTGATATTTGAAACTGCAGATTACCAAGAAGAGCCCTCTTCAAGAATTCGAAACGCAGTAAGACTTAAATACGTCATCTATATAATTAACTATATAATTTTTATGCTTTTTTAAATAAAAAATGCGTAGTTCAGTTTACTGTTCGAGATCTAGTCACGTGTGCTGTGACGAAGTAATCTGCATTATTGATAGCACTATGTGCACTTACAGCTAGAAACGCGTTCAGATGCATCTTGTCTATGCAAAATAGAAAAAGAAACTACATTTACATGCACGATTGGAACTCAAAAGCATTAGTTGCATATAGAGGAAGCGCGTACACATGCAAACGTAAAAGCAATTGCATTCAAGCGCGTCTAAGTTAATATTATTTCCAGGTATGAACCAATTCCGATGCAAAAATGATACTGTTTGCGTTGAAACGCGTTTAAAGACTGCTGTAAATCAGTTATGATGCGTTTTAGTCACGAAATGCGTCTGAACGCATGCAAGACTTTGCAACACATTCAAACACCCCTATGATGAACGCAATTCAATGCGTTTGGAGGCTGTTTCAATTCCAGACGCATTTAAACGCGTCAAAAATGCGTTTTATGATTACATGGGCTGCACTGTAAAATATATATATATATATATTCGTGATCAGCTTTTCTCGCTCTATCAAACCGTATATAAATGAATGAAAGATTTTACTGAAATTTTGTATTTTCGCTACCCTACATTTTAAATTAATTTTGACAAGAAAATTCATCAAGATGACAGATCGAACGAGTTTCTAGCAGTATCCACTTTTATTCTGTCATAACCAGATATGAGAAAATGTGTTAATTTTGTTTTTAACTTTTTTCGAATCATTTCTTCATTCTTCATGTCTGTTAATAACACTACATCGTTATGTTGCAATTTATATTCGACAATGAATCAGTGCTCAACCTAGTTGTTAGTCAGATTATATCGTACAGTTAAGTTTTTTTACTAAAAACTAATTAGAAGTTATATTGTCAACCACAGTTCACAAATAACGGGGGTGTTTTACATTAATTATTTGTGTTCATCTCATTGACGTTAACAACTGAGACTAGTAAAACTAGGTAAGAGAAGAAATGACAGGAGTGTGAAAGAGATTTCTTTGTTGTTGCTGTTAGAAGAATTTCATTTTATATCTGGAAGTTATTCTTACAAAGCTTTTGTTTTTCTTTGCTCAATTAGAATTTGATCATATATGGCATCATCGTTAGCTTTGTCGCTGGCCTTCGCTCAAC